TTCCCGGGGGGGGGGGGGGGTTAAGGGCAGCCGGCGAGCAAGGCTGACAACCTTACCGCCATCTGTGAGCCAATTGTCTAAGGGAAAATGTGGGAGCCTGTCACAGGGATAGCTCTACATTCCGAAGTGATTATCGTGGTGTTATCAACAGCTCATGTGCACCAGACCAGCAATAAAATGACCACTGCAACAGAGCGACTAGAACTTAAATTCTTCAATCTTCCAGTGCCCATGTGACTTCACTTTGTAGAGACCAAATTTTGTTGTCAGTTAAGATGAGTTTCACAGCGAGACTGCACTTCATGGCAGAAGCCTGGAGACTGATAATGCCCACTACAATCAAGAACTGTTTTTGAGTATGGTTCCTCAACTGATCATAGCAGCAGCGACAGTGCAGTGAAACTCGATGATGATGATGATGATGATGATGATGATGATGGAGAGAATGATTGACACAGATTACAACATCTTGGAGAGCAGTTTGAGGACTACACAACACGTGGTACATATTCTGAGGTCTGCACAATCCAGAATGTCAACCAGGAGTTGGATCACCACTTGACTGGGCCATTAGCAGAAGGGGAAGTTGTAGAATATAAAGTGATATCACTGGATGCACTGAAAATACGGGAAGCAGCCACAAAGATATATGTCAGATAGATACACAGAACAATATTATTGTAATGTGCAACATAGTCGAAAATGAATTATTCAGGCTGACAGTTCAAGAAAAAATGAAGCAGAAGACTCTTATAAACTGTTTAAAAAACAGTGTAACTAGGTATGTACCATATTTGCTCATCTTAACTTAACTCTGTGGTTTTAGTCCGCAAGCAAACTATACCGACAGCCGCTTGTCTGCGAAGTTAGCGCCAACTTTAGCAGATAGAGGGTGTCACGTGGCCAGCGCAACGAATCCCCACGGCCGTTATTTTCGGTTTTCTACACCGCTCATCTATCCAGGCAAATTCTGGAATTTTACCTTGAAATAGGCATGACAATTCCTTCCCACTCATAAGTCATAATCACCATCTCACCTTACCAAAGCTACATAAACACAGTTGTTGATGAAGCATAATGAAATGAACCTAGAACCATATTTGCATTTACATTTACGTTGTGCAGCATCCAAACATGTGTATTCTGAATGATCTTCCAAAGTTATGGTATAAAGAAAACCACATTATTCTGTGTGTTGTATCATTCTCATTTCCCAAATTTTATATTTATTTTAGGCATCCCCTTAAAAAGTGTAAAAATCGAGGCTTCACCGTATTTTGAAACAACTGGCATCATCCACGAATATTTTATCACAACTTAAAGTAAAAATCTATATAACTAATTCTGTACTCACATTCCTATCGTAACAATCAATCAATGGTCATTTCTACCATTTTAGTAATTCCTTTCACATTTCGATCATTCCATGAAATTAACAAGACAGACAGATGTCTCATCCGCAACACCAACCCTTCCACTCTGATACGCATTAACCCACACAAAGACCTGTGTTCTACTCTGTGTTTCCTCCCAATAAACTTGCTCGAACATTTTTGAAATGTAAGGACAACTTTTATTCAAGTTGTATTAAACATAATTTTTCACCAAAATTTCTGATCAAGAAACAAAATAAATACTGAAAGCATAAAACACAGTGAATCCCAACAAATGAATGCAGCTGCTCTTGTTTACCTGTGGAGACCGATGATTAGCATTGGATTTCTTTGATGGTGATGGCAATGTGTCTGAATCGTGACAAACAGATAAAGCTTCCTCCGCCATATCACCAACATTTTCCAAGTCAGTAGATTCATCACTGGTATCTTTCTGCGATTCCTCTCCTGTTGCCGTCACGATTTCACGTCCAAAACTTGCATCCCGTGAACTCTCCCCATCACTAGAATCCGTATCAGAAATGATGAAAGTAAAGTTTACAGTTTATGTATGATGATCCCCTTGTTTTGCAGTTTATTTTGTGATGCTGTTAACAACTAGACTACATAGTGGCAAATGGTAAGATGATTGATAAACTGAATAAGATCTGGAAAGCAATAGTCATGGCCCAACGAAGCACTGTCCCAGAACCTGTTAGTGGGATCGAGAAAAACCACAAGCCAGGACAACCAGTGATCCCAGCAAAGATTTGACAGAGAAGCTCCAAATAAAAATCTATAGTGATGCCACTATACCAACCAACTCCCTCAATTCCTTTGCTTTTATAAGCTTCATTTAAGTGTGTACAACAGAGGTAACCCCCAACATCAGTAACTGTGACTAGCGTGAATTTCAGATTAAAGAAATCCCACGCCATTTTTTTTTTATTTTACTTTCAATTACTAAAAATATATTATGTGTGCAGAACAAAACAATTACAATCTGCTAGGGCCAAACTGAATAGATTTAATTTACGGAAAAATGTATTTTTCATTGAAAATAAGAGGCAGTGAAACCAAAGGAACTGCAAAGCTTTCGTTGGGAGAACAATGATGGGAATACAAGTATCATGNATGTTGGGGGGGGGGGGGTATGTTAACAAACACAACTTCAAACAAAGACATCAGCGAAGTAGCATGGGAAAATCATGGCAATTTTAATATTAAATTTCACCTTTCATCTGGAATTTCACTCTCTGTCTCTGTTGTTGCTTCGATATCAGACAGGCATGGATACAGATGGCCGGGTTTAGGTGGCCTGACCTTGATACGCTTCATAGCTGTCAATCCTTCATATCTCTCACAATTCTGGGCTGAAAAATTGTAATAGCATATATGTTGAAAATCTTCACTGACACAGGGTAGGCAAACATAATATCATTTAAGCAATTACAAAGAATGTTCAATAACAAACACCTGGGGGTGTGTTAGTACTCTGAATTTGATGTCCAAAAGAATAAGGAAAAATAGGGCGAAAATTTTTGTTTTCTATAATCATGAAGTAAATTAGGTACTTTTCTCAGCAATGTACCACTAGTTTGAGTCCCAAAGAAATAGATCCACTCAGGTGTCGCTGCCAATCTGAAGTATACAGAGTCAAGAATGATTGCCCTCAGTGCTCCAAAATGCCATCATTTTCTGTCTGTGTTCAAAATTCCTTAGGTGCATTGTCGCTAGTGATGAAACTGTTCATCACTCCACCTTGAGACTGACAGCATCGACAGAGTAGAAACACACCACATCCACCATGACAAAGAAGGTTCAAGACCTTGTAGTCTGGCAGGAAAGTGTAAACACTGAGCCCTGACTTCCTCTCCACAGGAATCGAGTGTGTGGCATGTCCCAGTGGGGCAACTGCATCAGTTGCTCTGGTGACTATATGAATAAATAGAGGATCTGTCGGCTACTGTGTACTGTCTTTGACATCTATGTTGAAGTTACAAATGTGTGCGTAACATGCTCTTGGATGTTACTTATCAAACACCATTTATATAAAGTTTGCTAGTCTTGAAAATGCATTTCTTTCCTCAATCTTATACTCAACTGTACATATTACATGTCCCTATTACAGCACACAATAAGACAGCAACAAAGACTTCATGCAATTAACTTTAATGGGTGGCAAAGAGACGAATACTTCTACACCTTCTATCAAAAGTACAAGAGCTCTGACAGATCTGGACAAATCTACCTATCAATCACATTACAAATTCAGAAAACGTCAATTCCATCTTCATACAGTAACAAAATGTCTGATGTAATAAATAACTGAAAGTCGCATGCAAATAGGGTGGAGCGCCATAATTTTGACGTTCTTTTTATTATTGCTTGATTTTGTAAATGACACTTGCTATTGTAGAATGAAAATACCACATTTTGGAATTGCACTAGTCATACCCCATTAAAGATTTCTCCGCGGAGCAGTTGACTGAAATACTAAACTGAGGAAAATTTTAATGGTTAAAATATAGTACTCAGATTTTTGTCTTACATCATTGATATTGAGTGTCATCAAGTGAAGGAAACCTTTAAAATGAATATTAAATGGGGGTTCATCTGCATGCAGAGCATGCCATGTTTTCTTGGCAAAACGTGTGGAAGCACTTATACTACTACTGCTTAATACAGCGAACATTTGATTTTGCAATCCAGAATTTTTCATTTTTCATGAATATATACGTACACTTTTTATATGTTCTCAGCCAAATGCCCAAAACAATAATGTTAAATTTAAAACATTTTACATTACCTCAGCTTCATGGTTTCTCTGAATTTGTGCTTCACTTTTCTAGCTCTGACTATGAAAATTTACCTGCTTTAAGTTTGGTACTTCAGCTTTCAGAATGCAACAAGGGCTGTGCATCTCTCTCATGACCATCACAACATGTTTTCATAAGTGAAACATTCAACTAAAATGCACCCAGGTCAAATTCTTCAATTTTCTGGTGCCAATGTGACTTCACTTCACAGAGACCAAATTTTATCAGTTAAGATGAATTTCACAGGAAGAGGATGAAATATGGATAACAAAGGAAAATTGGAAATCATTTACAGTAAGTGATAAAATACAGCGAGTTGATGCACATTTTGGAAAATGTGTTGAACTGTCATCATGGTTGAGACTTTCAGTCTCCATGCTAAACACTGTTACGAAAAAATGTGAAGAAATTGAGACAAGTTATGTCCAGTGTGGACCTTTCCCCAAGCAGCATAAATCAATGAAACTTTCGTTCGCCACTGCAGAAACTGGACTCAGCACTGGCCACATGGTTCAAGCAAGCAGATGAGAATAAGGCTTCCATACATGACACCCACCACAAAAAGAAGGCCTTGCACATCACTGCTTGTCTGGGAATAGCCAACACTGGATTCTGCTGATTGCATTAACAGGTTTAAGAGGAGATACAAGATTGTATATGGAACTCCATCAAATGACAGCAGGAGCGTTGATCCAGAAACCTTAGAAGACTAGAAAAATTAGCGACTATTGCAAGAAATTGAAGGTTATGACCTCGGTGATATACATAATGGTGATGATACAGGTATATTTTTCAAAACACAACCTAGGAAAACACTGAATTTTCAAGGAGATTTTTGCCGTGGTGGTATAGAATCTAAAGAGTCGGTTATTGTACTCCCCACAGTGATAAGACTTCCACATCTTGTAACTGGAAAACATAAAAGTCCACATTGCTCCAAGAGTACTGTGACATGTAGACCCATTGCCAGGCAACAGCTTGGTAAACACATTGCAGCAACAAGAGCGCTCAACAATAGGACATCCATTGCTAGGTAACAGACCAATAAACAGGCATTCTTGACAACAGTAGACATCCATTGCTAGGGAATAGAAGTGTTTTTCTCTGCCTCAATGCTATTTAAGTAGTACAGACCAGAGCAGTAGAATCAGAATTGAGGGAGTATGAGTACAGCGGGAGAAGTGGAGTTCAGTTCAGTTGGAAGTCATAATAGTTCCAGTCGAGTGTCCGGTTGAAAGAAGCTGACAGCGTCAGATAGTATTTGTGAACTGCTGTAACCAGTTATATAAAGGTTCAATAAATTCAATCATCAGATCCAAAACCCATCTCATTAGTCAAGCAATCTCTGGATGCTCCAAAAGATTTCACTCTGGCCTCTTCCTTAGGGACCTCACAGTGCTCTGTTACAGACTTCATTTATTCTGGATTTTGCTCCTTACTTTGCAGCCACGCCTCCATCATTTCTTGGCAGACCATCCTTTATTTCTGTTAGCCAGTAAACCATCTTCCCTTGAGGTCTGTCCATCCTGTCTTGATTGGTTTCTGTCTCTTCTCAGATGGTTTCATTTTTGCTTCCAGCCTTACCTGAGAGCAATCCATCTTGGCTTCCAACATTGTCGCCATCTTTTCTTGGTTGGCTTTCATTTCAGCCAGCAGGCATGCCATCATTTGTTCCATTTCCATTGTATGATGAATAAATCTTCAATCCAATAATCGATCAATTCTATCCCACTTCTGACATAAAAATGTCATGTACCTTGGATGTGCGCGAATAATAAGACAAGTTTCAGATTTGATGATCAAATTAATTGGACCTTTACGCAACTGGTTACAACCGTTCACAAATCACTGTCTTCTTCTTCTTCTTCTTCTTCTGACTGGGAACTCCACTGGAAATACTCTGAATTCCAACTGATTCCATTCTCTTCTGTACTATTCACATAGTCTTCAGGCAGATGCACAGAAAACACTGCTTCCTCTACTGTTGTATTTGCAGCACCGTTGCATAGCACGATAAGTTGTTCTATTGTTGCCTGTGTATTCGTTGCTGTGGAAATCTGTTTACTGAGCTGTTGCCTACTAATGGGTTTACATGACATATTATCAAGAGACTGCATACGAACTATGAAGCTAACAAAAATTTTCAGATGACCACCAGAATATCTGAAGACTACCTCACACGTTTAGATAGAAAACTGAGTGCTACAACTCGCAAAAACTTACTTCTCATTGATCAGTGCGTAACCCATCCAAAGAACATCACATTTCTCAACATCAAAATTGTTGACTCTAAAGGGTTCTGATGATGGTGGATGACACACAGAATTACACACCGGAATTCTAGCTAATAGAATGTCTGCGTGTCTCTTGCAGTCTATATGTTCTATTACCTACTATTGTTAATGCTGTAAAAAAGTTGCCTGCGCTTAACTGAAGCACTATACTATGAAAGCATATGGGCGGAGTGGATATATAGATCCACATTTTCTTGACCTCAGCACTAGTTGATGGTGAGTGGTCGGCTTCATGCCACGGCCGCTTTATCCCTGGCAAAAGAGCCACTGGTATCCATTGGATAGGAGGCTGGGTGGGCCCAAGAGCCAGTCCAGAAGAGACAGAGAAGCGAAAATTCTTGACCCTACCAGGTCTTGAACTCTGACCCCTCACTTGTCCAGTCCATAGTGAGTCACTATACCGACTGTATTATCCCAGCTCTCCAAGTTATGGTACAAAGAAAACCAGACTTTCTACATATCATTCCCATTTCCCTAATTTTACATTTATTTTAGGGGACCCCTTAAAAAGGGTAAAATCAAGGATTCATTGTATAGACCTTACACAAAGTATGGTAATATACGGCTGAAAAACATGCATTTTTGTGAGAGTGCAATATAAGAACATGGCAGCCATGTGAACATTTTCTTTAGCTTCGAATGGCAATTACTATTGAAACACTGGAGCCAGGAATGTGAAATTTTTCATGGAAACAGGCCACGTACAACTGCACATTATGCATGAAATGTTGCCCGTGGATTATTAATGATGCTGTCAGTATCTGTACTATACAATATCAGAAGGTAAGGTGACTGATGAACTGCAAAAAAATTTTGAAGGAAGTGGTCATGGCCTAATCAAGATACTATCCTGGCACCGCAAAAACCTCCTGATTACAAGCCTAGACGTTTACTTCTATATCAAGCTATGGGTTTGTTAGTCAAAAGACACAAACCTGTGAACGGTGCAGAACAGTTACAGTAATTGTACTTGAGAAATAATCGATACAGTTTGGAAACCACTATTACAATAGGTGTTTTGAGTGTTAAAATATATATGCATACAGTGCTGACAATACGCAAATGGGTACAAAATCCAAAGTTTTCACAATTACAGCGAGTGTCTTGATATATTAAAGTTTTTTTTTTTTTTTTAAATTTGTCAGTTAAGTTACAATTTATAAACCAAATAGGTTCGTGTCCTCTCTCTTACAACCTCTCCTAAGGGGGGCCAAACTTGTGCCACCTGCCTTTCTTGAGAAGAAGGTCCTTTGATGTCGTCCTGTGGTTGTTTGTGGCGAGCTGTGTTGTTTTTAAATAATTTTAATATATCAAGACAGCCGCTGTAGTTGTCAAAACTTTGGATTTTGTGCCCATTTGTGTATTGTCAGCACTGTATGCATATATATCTTAACATTCAGAACACCCACTGTAATAGTGGTTTCCAAATATATCGATGTCCCTCTGATGACGGTCTCTAAGGACCGAAACATGTAAGGGCATGAAGAATTGAAATAAGAACACCAGTCACACTGGACGGAACTGTTTTGTCTTCTCATGATATTGTTAGTGTGACGGACGAGAATGAGACAAATTAAATATTAAATATTTAATATATCAAGGGCAGAATCCGGCTTCTATATGTAGCATTAACTGTAGCTGAGATATGCTGCTGAAATATCTTTTCTGAAAACTAAGAGCAATAATGATGAAACTGCTGACCGTGCATCAACTGTTGTTATCAATGATCAAGAAGAATTCAGAGTTCATTGATAAGGAAATTAATCAAACCTTTCCGCTTTTTTCCTGGGCAAGATGATGTTGATACATTGAAATATCTCACTGGTGATATGTTAGAGTCATGGCTTGTCTTTGATGGTATAGATCCTGGAGGCCTTCCGTCTGCCTGCACCTGAGACAAATCTGCAGGAGTTGGTAATGGAGGGGTAGGGGGAGGTCCACAACACTCCTGTCATAACAATATTTCCAAATCAACAATGCAGTTCATCATGAATACTAAACATAGTTACTTCACATATAATGGTCAATACAAAAATAAAATGTACAGATATCCCTTGTTCTACCTATTCTTGTGTGACAGTCCAAACCTTCTAAAACTCTTCAAGGGAAGAGTTATGGTCCTCTTTAGCCATTTCAGTAGAGTGACTGATTCATCGGGGAGACCGATCCATTAGCATGTGCCATCATCAGGTGTGTTATTTACGTTAAACTATTGCACTGCTCGCCATCATTTGTCGTTTATAAAATGATTTAAAATGTATATTCGTCATGTACTATAATAAAATTTATATATTAAAATTTGTTAAGATTTATCGTCTTATACGTCGTATTTCAAAATCGCGGCATGTTATATCAATCTTCCGCTACGGGAGTCGTTCTTCCTCTATTTTGTGTATACTGTGTCTTCTGATGTGTCCTTCTTTTGTGGCTGTGTGCGTAAATAACACACCTGAGGATGGCACAGTGATGCCGAAACATGTAGTGAAGTGACAAGTGAGACTCTGTGCACTAGAAGACGGTCGATACATACACATCATGGACGTGAATTAGTTCCTTTCATGAACTGGTTAATTGATGGGTGCCAACAATTAAGTGGTTTACCATCTGTGCATCAGTCATGCTTCTCCTCATGCAATCATCCAAGTCCAGAGGGGGGTTTCATAAAGACTGTGCAAGATGGGTTCTGAAAACACTCACAGGAAAGCACAGGCGCAACTTTTTGACAATCTGCCAAGGCCTACTGAATTGCTATTGTAAAAAAGTGACTTTTTTAGATGTGTTGTTCCTGGGGATGAGAAGTGGATCCACCATTATGGTAATGGAGGGGCAGGGGGACGTCCACAACACTCCTGTCATAACAATATTTCCAAATCAACAATGCAGTTCATCGTGAATACTAAACATAGTTACTTCACATACATTAGTCAATACAAAAATAAAATGTACAGATATCCCTTGTTCTACCTATACTTGATTCACAAATGTTCACAAATGATCTACATACACAAAAAAGTTTCCTTTTATTGCACACAGCATATTGGGAGAAGCAGACAAACCCACCAACGTACATCTCCCACCTTCCCAGTCTGTCCATGAGTATTGTTGTGATAATACAAAATCAGCTATGCAATTGACACTCACATTTTATCCTTAAATATCAGTGTTATTTGTGCCCAACAAAGCTCCCAAATAAGTAAAAGAGGTTATAAGAGGAGCTGATAGGCCAAACACAGCAAGGATTGCAGTTAGTTTAGCTACAATCTGCATCACTGCATTACATAAACTATGAGAAAAAAAAAACAAATAAAATAATACACTTGAACCTGCAACAGTAAATTACCATAAAGAAATAGTACTGTCCTTATTTTACGGCTCATTTACTATTAAAACATATCATGTATGTCAAAAATATTGGGGGATTGTTCTGGGACTCAAAACAAATTGTGACTTTGACACATAAAATAGTGTAAATATAATTTTGGATTTACAAATTTTCACCTTACAAAAAGTCTTCATGGAATGAATTATCTTTCTAAATTGTGATATACCTGTATGAAGTCCTATGGATATATAAAATTCACAACACTGGATTATCTGTACATTTGAACTATAATTACACTTTCACACAGCACAGAAAAGTATATTTTCCCTCGTGCTTAATTAAGCACCATGCCGTGAAGAAGTGTGGATGGGTAGAGGTACAGCTCCATGACCCACTCATTTTATCCCCCCCCCCAAGAGAAAAACCAGGGCCCACTGGATAGGAGGCTGAATGGGCCATAGAACAGGTCTGGAGTCTGTAGAGAAGAGAAAAATCTGGTGCATCTGCCTTGAGTGACATTATTTGTTATAAGAGGGTGGTTCATATTTGATACAGCATTTTTTAAACCAGTGCTGCATTCGGCTTTTGAAAATGAAGGGGTTCATGAATGACTGCCCCTATACTGCTGTTCACTTGTTATACGGTTTCAAAACACAAAACTGGCAATTGTTCAGCTAGTTACTGTTTACATGTTTGGCTAGACTTTATAGCTGTGGGGAAAATGCTGTGTCGCGGCTGTTCCTGAATCAGAATAACACTCACACCTCAGTCTCCAATGGTCCATTTTTCCCGAAATGTTCTCTTAGTCTTTCATGAACATCACCCAGTGCTGGGCCTTAGTTCACCAGAATTTCAATATTTTTAAAGACACAACGTTGTGAGAAACATGCACGCAAGTATGATTAATGTGTGGAGGAGAGGAAAACATAACAGCAATCCACACTACTGCAAACAAGGAACAATGAACATTCTGGAACAAATCTAAAAAATGCACATGCACACACACATGCTATTTTAAGCATACATTTGTCAGAGGTTTTGCAGGATCTGAGGTCTGCACAGCGGTGGTTATGAAAAATTCTACCTTCTGGGATGTGAAAGCAAGTGGCAAGCCGCCACATGCTTTCTTGCTGGTTTCATACTCAGCTTATTTTTCAACCCTGAAGATGGTGGTGACATGATCCTCCGAAACATCAGTTAATTTTCCATGGACTTCATGGCGTTATATCCCAGAAGGTTGAATTCTTAATCAGAGGTTTTATTCTAATAAAAAGTAAGTGTAACATAACTTTAAGGACATAAGTGAGTGTTCCAAGTACAGAGATCCCAAGTAGTTAGTTTCATTTTAGTATCTATATGGTGTATATACAGTATAACCTCCATTAACAAATATCATAAATGAGGGAAAATTAAGAGACTACTGACTTGGGATCATTGTAATTCAGCATTAAACAACAGGGAACACTGAGGAAGATTAAATGAGGGTTCCACTGTACATATATTTCTCATGCTACTCATCCCTAATCTGTTTGCTGTACCTCTAATTCTCATAATCTGAACAGTGTAAAATACTCTGAAATCAATAACAAGTGGCAAAAATTGAAGAGTTTAATAAAAGCCAGAATTTGTAATATGAAAACTATATATATATCACCTGTTTCATCTGATCGGCCCATACAGCAGTCGTATTGTTTGTGCCATCAGTATTCACATTGCATTCTTTTGAAGAAGCCAACTGTTTGTTCCTGTTCCAGCGATTCAACATTACCATTTCCTGTTGTCCTTCTGATTGCACGTTCTCAATAGCGGCATTATGTACTGCAAATGCATTGCCTTGTTCAAACATTTGAGCCAAAGCCTTGCTGGATCTTGTTGGCAAGTCTGAAAGTAGTGGAAATGGAGACTTATTTCACATACACAAGATCTGGGGTTCTCAGGGCAATGAATATTTAGATAATGGTCTTCTGGGCTGTAAGCCAGTTTAGTTTGGTACATCCTGAAGATAGAGGCAGCAGGTTCCTTCAAAACTTCCATACATATCTGCCTAATTACACAGCATCACATACAGAGAACTGTAAAGTAAAAAAAGTAAAGCTATCCCTGTAACAGACCGTGAAGGCCCATAGGGTTGTGAGATATTGAGGGTCCCACATTATCTAGACAATCGGCTCACAGATGGCGGTGAGGCTGTCAGTTTTACGCGTCGGCTGTGCTTTACTCCACAGGAAAATTATTTAATTAATTCCTGGTAGTCATTTCGGTTACAGGCTGAGTCAACCCCAGGGCCATAGGGCGGCCAGAAGGATTAGGTAAATTGAAAAAGATCCAACGACATCGTCAGGAATTGAACCCGTGACCTTCCGGCTTGTAGCATAGTGCCTCAACCAACTACGCTACCACGTGAACTGTACTTTTTAATATTTGGCATATGTAACAGAATCTAATAAAAACTTATGTTTTATCCCATGCTTTGGCTGCAAGATCTGTAAAATCATGTAGAGGACAGTGTAACAGTAGTGTTCAATGAACATGAGTTTCCAAAATTTTACAGTTATTGGAACCAGAAGAAGCCATTCATATGCCCAAGCCAGCAAGCACCACTCAGCTACTTCTCATACAAAGTTTTGTTCCAGATACTTGACTTTCACTACTGCCTGCCCAAAAACACTACCCCATTTTTAATTCAGTCTTCTTTTTATTGCTAGTGGGGTGGGACTAAGTCCCTTGTACTGTGGCCATTTCTGGCCTACTGTACCAGCCCCAGGTGATAGGTGAGGGTGATTGTGGAGCAATTGGTGGAATGAAGATTGGCAGGGGAAACCAAAGTACTTGGAGAAAACCTGCCCCTGGGCCACTCTGTCCACCACACATCCCACTTGACCAGACCCAGGATCGAACCTGGGCTGCCTTGGTGGGGAGCCAGTGACTAACCGCTTGAGCTATGGCACAGCCTTAATTCAGTCTTAGTACACACGAGAGCTATTCAGAAAGTAGCCTCCTGTGAGCTGTTAATAAAACAAGCAATGAGATAAACAAATTTCATTTTCTTTTGCAACAACGGTCTGCTACCTGCGACTTAGTGGTGGCACCAAGTGGCATGAGCGATTTCAACTGAACTCCAACATTTTTTATTTACATGTCATACTATAGCAAAAGTCTCTGATAGCTGTACATAAATCATAACTGAGTCAAAATGAATCATCTCCCAACTAATTACAAGGAGCAGAGCCCTTTTTAGAAGCTAATAGTTGCTTAGCTTGTCAAGATATTCCTAGAATTGTATGTATTCTCTTTCCTTATTTTTCTTCCTAAAACTCTGCATTCCTTTATATTTCCCTTGTGCATACTACATGCCCTGCCCATCTCATCCTCCATGATATGTTTGTCCTAATATATCTGGTGAGTACAAATTATGAAGATCCTCACTATGCATTTTCCTCTAGCATCCTGTTACTTCCTCTCTCTTAGGTCCAGGAATTCTCCTCAGCACCCTGTTCTCAAAATGGCCAAGTCTATGTTCTCTCAGCATGAGGCAGAAACAAAACAACACTGCACTATATTTTAAGGGTTTAACTAGGCATTGTCCAATGGACAGTATTTCATATAGTAATTTATAAAATAATAATTCATACCCTCAGAAGGAGCTGGTGGTGAAAGAGCAGTATCAGCAACACAGGATTTGTTAGCTTGTTTTGCCACGTGGCCACTTTGTTTTCCAGGTGGCAAAATTGTCTTGGCATTGGTGTTAAATGTCACAGATTCCTGCAGCTGTGTCACTGTGCTGTTGACCATCCTGTTCCCCTTCCCAGGGGAATAGACTTTACTGGGAATACTTTTCTGCCCATCACTACTACCTGCAATATATTTGGCAGGAACAGGCATTGATAATGCAGCCTTAGGCATCAGAGCTTGCCCCTTGTTATGTTCAAACATTGCAAGCCTCTCTGCTACAGAGAGCTCAGTGGGATCTTTGCTATTCTTCTTTGTTGGGCTTGACTCAAAGAGAGCAGCCTTGTGAAGTACTGAGCCAATTTTTGGAGATGAATCTCCTTTGTGAGGACTACCAACACAAAGTCCCATCTGTGGTACATTTGGTACGCATGGACTTCCAGTTGATCTGGGCAGAACATTTCTTTTCCCTGGAGAACTGGTTAACTTGTTGCTTGAGTTGCTATGAAGGATATTTGTTCCTGTCACTGGAGTTTGTGAACCCTGCATTCATAGAAATCAATTAAATAAGTTGTTACATTTAAGCTTTTCTTTAAAGTGTAAGCTGATTTGACTGAAAATTAAAAGCAATAAAGAGAAACAATTATTTGCACTTGAGGTAGGATTCAGACCTAAATATAAAAACTGCCAATTCTAATACTAGTACAAAAAAAAAAAGAATGAAAAATGGTACATATCTTCAGATTCTTTTCATTGGTATATCATATTGTGAAATGTAGACCCATTGCTAGGGAACGAGTTGGCAAACACATTTCCATGACATAAGCGCTTAAAAATGGGGCATCTATTGTTAGGTAACAGACTGCCAGACGGGCACTCTGGACAACAGCAGATGTCCACTGCTAGGAAATGGACACGTTTTCTGCGGGTCCTTGAAGCTATAAAAATAATTCAGATGGAAGTCAGAAACAGCAATATTTGCAAACAGAATTATTTTGTGGCTACGCCTCATACATTCAAGGATCTTGCAGTTTCCTGCTTATATCCTCAGCAGCTTTGTCCAGCAGTGCTCCTGTAGCATCCACCACCGCACTGAAAGTATCCTCAAAGGACAGCACAGTAGGGGGAAAGGATACAACAGAGACCCCTTACCAAGGCTCAGTATATAGTATCATACCATACAATGACAAGCTGCTGAAATGGACAATTATATTCTTGTTAACAACTGGGGAAGCAGGGCACTGAGCTTATGCAGACACTGGCTTTGTTATGCAGTTGGGTTGAGGTCACAGCCCAGAAGACAGCAGTCTGAATATTGACCACTGTGAGACTAAAATCTCATATGACATGCAGTGGAACCTTGTTAATCTGAACTGATTTGCAGTTACACCTCCCCAAAGGCACCTACAAAAATAATAAATTAATTTAATTATTTTACTTCCCTTCATTAAAAATGAATTCTAGTGAACTATGATAATACGTGTTAATGGACCTGCCTCTCTAGGTGGTGAAAGATGTAATCCACTTACTGCTTGCATTCAGTACATAATTGAATGTCAGTCACTGTTTATATTACAAAATGTACCTACAAATCTTCTGAATGAACAATTTTCCTTAAAAACTTGATTTTAATCAAGTACTCTGAAAGAGTTGATAGTGCAAACACATCAGTCTTTAATTAGTTTAGATTATCGAGGTTACAGTGTATTGCTAAATTCCTTATCTACAACAAAAAAATATGCATACAATAGAGATGCTGAAGGCAGTGTTCTCTTCAGGCTGCCCAGTAGGTATACAGGGAGAATTAGTCAGAAAAATATGGGTCATGTGTGCCATGGGGCCCAAACCCAAGAATGACTACACTGGTAAAGGCCAGCAGCAATTTACCAGACAGATACATTGAACCAGTCAGTCATTGTGCAGAAACAATTGGTCATGGGCCCTGTGCAGGGCCTGAAACCAAGAATGACGGCTGGTGAAGGCCAGCAGCTGATCACCATACCGGACTAGGACCAGGGAACTCAAGTCAATCAGCAGTTGGGAGTCAACAGTAGACAGTTGCAAGACAGCAGCTGCAGTTGGTGGTCAGACATCACAATGAAAGCAGAGAAAATTCAACTGTTAGGAGTCACTACCAAGCAATAATTAGTGATGACATAATAGACTGAGAAGACTCAAATGTTCTGTACTTACTTGGGGAGTGTGTTGTAACTATTCATGCTTATGGTCATAAATGTACAATAAATTCAGTAATAAATAAAAAAAGATCATGGGTCCCACAGGACCTGAAACCAAGAATGACAACAAATTAACAGACCAGGGCCAAAGACTGTACACTGCAAGTCAGGCAGAGTGAAAAATATGGTCATGGGTCCAGGTATCAAGAATAACTGCTGGTAAGGACCAGCAGCAATTGACCAGATTAGACCAGGCCTGGACCATCAGAGTCATGAGGCAGAAAGATGTCATCGGTCCTACAGGGCCGTAAATCTAGAATGACTGTGCTGGCAAAGACCAGGAGCAATTACTAGACCAGATCAGGGTCCATGATGGACCCTGATGGTACCCAAAACCAAGAATGAGTGTACTGGCGAAGACCAGCAGCAAATTACCAGACTAGAACAGACTAGGACCATCAGAAGTCAGGTCGGCGAAAGCCAGTAGTAAATTACTGCTCTGCTTAGATTAGGCATAAAAAGTCCATCCCCTCCTCTCATTGAAGAGGAAGCCCCATTTCAAAACATATAAATGGTCTTGGAAAGATCAAAAATATGGTCATGGGTCACAAGAGGACCCAAAAGCAAGAATCAGAATTTTCAACAAGCCTCATTAAGCCGACTGCTTCTTTTCTCAGTAACAGAAAATCTGAAATCCCAGTAAAGGGCAAAAAACGTAAAATTAGAATCTATAAAACAAGTCCATGATTTATTTAAACCGTCCTGCAATGCATACACTCATTTATCTCCTTCTCTCCCTCGCACTACATGTTTCGGCATGATAATGCCATCTTCAGGTGCTTACTTATCCACGTCAAACTAGTTCATTGCATGCCTTGTCCTCATATTAAAATAACTAAAATATGTATCTATGATATTTAGTTATTTTAATATGAGGACAAGGCATGCAATGAACTAGTTTGACGTGGATAAGTAAGCACCTGAAGATGGCATTATCATGCCGAAACATGTAGTGCGAGGGAGAGAAGGAGATAAATGAGTGTATGCATTGCAGGACGGTTTAAATAAATCATGGACTTAAATCAGTGCAACAGGACGCTAAAATATAACATATATAAAACAATTTTATCTGTAGTTTGGTATGGGTGTGAATCTTGGTCTCTGGCATTAAAGGAAAAGAATGATCAAGTGAAGAAGGATGAGATGGACATGCATGGCGGAGAAGAGAAATGCATATACAATTTTGGTGGTAAAGCCAGGAGGAAAGAGATCGCTAGAAAGACCTGGATGTAGGTGGAAGGATAACATCAAAATGGATCTTAGAGAAATAGGATAGCGTGTGGTATAGTCTCCCAAAGTCTATCCAAACCAAGTTCAGTGTAAGACAACAAAACATTACAAAAGTGCGACTGAGTCAAATTTAGAACTTCAGAGTTAAATTAGTTATGAACTAAAATACTGAATTATATAAGCTCCTTTTACCTTGTTTCCTACCTGAACTCGCAGCAACTTCACTGAATCGAGCAGTGTCTCAGAGACATTTTCTTGTATAGTTGCCAGCTGGTTTTCGACTTCATCACTAGAAACTGGAGCAGGAATGTTGCATGTCTTATCATCATTCTCCTCAACCTGTGGAGAATGTTTTGAATAATCATATACAAGTCTAGCTTTAGATTGAGTGCGTGAGAATCCTTGTGCTTCCTGCAAGTAAAGGGAGAAACAAAGCAAATCTAATCCATGGTCCTTTCTATCCTATTAACACGTGTATAACACACGCAGTCACAGGAGCAAGACACAACACAAAGCACAATACACATACGATAGTGAAAGAGTGCTCCAACAGAAGAGGATAGGTGTGACTCGCGTAGTGAGATACGACGTAGCGATGAAAAATCCTGAAAAATTTTAATATTTTTAACATTTAACATTTATCAATATATATGATAAATATATATATTAGTTATTTTAATATGAAGACAAGGCATGCAATGAACTAGTTTAGCGTAAATTGAATAAGCACCCGAAGATGGCATTTTTGTGCCGAAACATGTAGTACGAGTGAGAGGAGGAGATAGATGAGTGTTTGCACTGGAAGATGGTTGAAATAAATCATGGGCTGAATTACTTTTTACCTATTAGCCTTACCTTCCTAAGATAAAATAACTGCCATCACCAAAGCCCCAAGTATTGGAAGATTTAAAATATCATATGCATAATGCACTGACATCTTGAATGGAAACCTGGATAGGAACTGTGCCATACCACGAGATTTTAAATCCCATAGTCCCGAATGATAAGGGTTAATCAGAACATTCTGATTTCCTTGCAAGCTTCAACCATTTCAAAACAGTATAGCAGTAAACCCATGTTCCACTTCACTCAAAATGTTCAAAACTGCATTCATACATATACATATACATATATTTCACACTTCACAAGTCCAAAATGCAATGGAGATGAAACTGGTCACAAGCATAACATAAACAAACAAAGCTAAACAAACACTGTAACTAATTATTTACTAAGCGGCCTCCGTAGTCTAGAGGCAACGTTCCCACCTCATAACTCGTGGTACGCGGGTTCAAATACACGGCGGAGGTCGTCGAACTTTTAAGGGCGGAAAAATTCAGGGAACAAGTCCTCCGGGAGGGACTTTAAGCCGTGTGTCCCGTGTCATAGCTTTACAGCACGTAAAAGAACCTCATATCTCCAAAGGAGATCATTGAGCCAAATTCAAGGACGTTTCCCGCCCAACAGTAGTCTCTAAGGCCTCTGATAGATGGGGGAAGCATTATGGACACCGCCAAGCTAGTGGAGGCTGAACTCGCTGGCTCGGCGGGACTGATGGTATGCACCAATATCGGTAGGGTATAGAGACTGGTAGAATATCATAGAGGGAAGCACAATGAACCAATACTGGTCTAAGTGCATGGGGAATAACTAACTCCAATACCTAACTAATTAGTTATTTACTACAAGCTCCAAAAATTCATCAACTGTATAAAATGCGCTATTCATGAGATACGAAAATAAATTATTTTTAAAACTGATTCATCCCTTTCTAAGACTTCGAGTGGTCTCTGGCAATCTATTAAATAACCTAATACCAGTAAACAGAAAGATTTGAAATTGGAACATAAATTTGATTTTTGCTTCTAGTGTTCAGGCCATGAACCTCTGAACTTGAACAGAAATTATTTTGATTATTTATCACAAACATCAAAGAAAAAATACAGTCACATGACAATGGTAAAATTTCTTAAAAAGACTTCAACATGAGTCTATGGGTCGCACTCCTAATATGATCGTTATTACTTTCTTTTGTAATTTAAAAACCCTAGAATTATTAGTCGAATTGCTCCAGAGGACTATTCCATACTTAATGACAGAATGAAAGTAAGAAAAATAAAATAAGATAAACTCCTAAATACTAAAACAGCAGAACAGAGTTTAGGAAGGTTTTATTCCACATGACTCTTCCAATTTAATTTATTATCAATTTGTACACCCAAAAATGTTGTTACAGGAACTTCATTCATTACATTTCCAAAGGATACTGCCAGCAAAGAGTTAGCAGACTATTTAGGAGTAGTTGTAATTTATGTCAGTCAGTGTTATGACTCTCAGAGTACTCAAACAATCTAAGACCCTTCAGGGAAAAGGTAGCTGACAGAGTCCTTTACACAAGAATGCTTCACTAGAGATACAAGTATGCACATAACTTGTGCAAGATGAACATGATTACCTATAATCGGTGAGACAGGAATGTCAAATTTTACTGCAAAACATTCTGTTTTGAGGAAAAATGGCCAGGCTACAGTCTGAAGAATTTCAAGGCAATCTTGTGAATATATTCATATTGAATTCTCGTAGTGATATGCAAGGCACCGCTCATCAGGAAAGGTAGAGCTGGCTACAGAGCCCATTTCATTTTCTGTTTCCCCCCCAACACAGTAACAATTCTGAGTTTGCATTTGTTTTAGCATACATGAAATTTCCTCTCTTTTTCCTTCAATTTAATGCCTGAATCATTGCAATCTGTTTATAAATTAAGAATTATTTCAGTCTAGTGGCAGTAATATTGCAACTGACATTCAAATTCTTTCTAAGAACTAATCAAAAATAGGGGGAGATCTGCATTGTACTGAAGTTAGGTACAGTAAACATGAATGTATATTAGTTTTCAATACATACAAGAGTTGCAACAGTGTTCTCATCCAACACAAATTGCCTTGTTTTAGCCACTTTCAAACACTGCTGGTCAGGATTTGGTTTGCTCACTATTTTGGAACTCAATGTTTCTGCAGTACTGGTACTGTGGTTAGCGACATTACCAGAGCTTCCTTTACTTTGGTCTGGACTCTGCGAAGTAAAATAATGGCATAATTCGTGAGAAAGGCTGCCATAAGTGAAGCAAATTAAGTTCTACTGCTGTTCAGGCTTTAGGATACAAGACAACAAACTGTGAGATTTTCAGTCTAATTTCGCAATGATTAACATCATTTAAGAAAGTTACATGATAGATTATTAGACTCTATAAAGGTAAAGGCAAAGTTGGCCTTGTGCTTATTAAAGTTTCAGGAGGATGGATGGCCCTAGGGGTTATATGGACAAGTGGCAATTGGAAAATTCTCTACTCCTGTAGGGAAGAAAAGACCCACGATTGGTATATGATTCCTGGCAGTGTCTAACCAGTCACTATATTTGCTGAGCTGTGATAATTCATTATTAGACTTCACAAGACCTTCAAATTTCTCAAATGTATGCTTTAGATTTACATACAGCATGTGAAGAAACAGCAGTAGGATGGCTGACTTCGTCCTCCCAGTGTCTGATAGTGTCAGCAAGCATAGCCAACTTAGCTTGCAGTCCTCCTGATTTTGTCTTCGAATGTGTTTGTTGTGGCACTTCATTCTCCACTTCAGCTTGTTCTGCACTGAAATGTACCTCTGTTTTATGGATTGGCGATGACAGCTGTGAGTCTGCATTATACAATAGTACACCAAATATAGTACAAGGAGAAACAATCTGTTTCAGTTTACAAGTATAAAAATGTATAAGAAAAATGACATTTCATCTGCAGAAGGAACATCTTGTTTGCAATCAAGGAGCACACATCAGAACTGGAAGATTTTCCAGCCAAGTGTACATTAGGAGCAAGGTATAAGAACTAGCTCTATAAATATTTATTGATTGGTCCTCTAACTCTCAGGGCTTTTTCTACTGCTCTATATGTGACAAAGGAAAATTACGAACAAGAAATATTTGGTGCAAAGACACTGCACATATTTTCTCATGTACAACCGGCCTTCACTATGTTGCCTGGGAAACGAAGGCGATTCTTGTTTTCTAGACCATTTTTTGTCTCTGACGATGTAACCTATGAAGATATATATGCATGGAACGTACCAACTATGACCTGTGTGCGGCTAATGGCACTACCATCCACACATACGGATGGCTGCCTCTCAGCCTCAACTTGGGCCTACGCCGAGAATTCACGTGGTACTTCGTGGTGGCCGACGTCACGCATCCTATCATCAGCGTGGACTTCCTGTCGCATTTTGGTCTCCTGGTGGACTGTCAGAACAACCACATCCTGGACGGGGTCACGACGCTGTGAGCCCCAGCCTCAGCAGCCAACGCACTGATCCCCAGTGTAAAGACAATCAGCAGCAACACACCGATCGACAGCCTCCTCACAGAGTTCCCGGACCTGACCCGCCCAGCTGGAGTCCAGCGCGAGATATGACACAACACTGTCCACAACATCAGGACTGTACCTGGCCCACCAGTAACCTGCCAACCTTGGCGACTGGCACCGGACTGACTCGCTATTGCAAAAGTCGAGTTCGACGCCATGTTGCGGGATGGTACAGCTCGTCGATCTGAGAGTTCATGGTCCTCGGCACTACACATTGTGCCCAAGAAAGACAACGGTTGGCGTCCATGCGGCAACTACAGAGCGCTCAACTCCCGAACCATCCCTGACTGCTACCCTGTCCGCCATATCCACGACTACTCCCACCAGCTTCTCAACTGTTCCGTCTTTTCCAAAATTGACCTGGTGAGAGCCTACAATCAAATCCCGTCCACCGTGAAGACATACAGAAGACGGCCATCACCACTCCATTCGGCCTATTCGAGTTCCCCTTCATGTCCTTCGGCCTGTGCAACGCCGCACAGACCTTCCAACGCTTCATGGACAACATTCTGTGGGGACTCGACTTCTATTTCGCTTACCTGGATATCATCATCTTCTCCCGGTCTCTAGAGGAACACGAGCAACACCTACAGGCACTCTTCGACCGACTGCAGAAGTATGGGATCCTCATCAACCCGGCCAAGTGCATCTTCCGAGTACCCGAGGTCACCTTCCTTGGTTAAAAGGTGTCCGCCGAAGGCTCCTAACCGCTGGAAGAACGAGTGACTCGCCTTCAGGAATGTCAACCTCCCAAAACCACCAGTCAGCTCTGCCGTTTCCTGGGCATGGTGAACTACTACAGGCGATTTCTGCCCCACGCGGCAGCACACCAGGCAACACTGCACGACATCCTCTCCGGACCCAAAGTCAAGGGCTCCAACCCAATCACTTGGACACCAGAGCTCCACAGGGCCTTCAAAGAGTGCAAGGCGAGTTTGTCACGCGCCACACTACTGGCTTACCCCGATCCATCCGAGTCACTTGCACTCGTCACAGATGCCTCCACGTCCACCATGGGTGCCATGCCACAGCAACGCGTCAAGAACGCCTGGCAGCCCCTGGCATTCTTCTCAAGGAAACTGAACCTGGCCCAGCAAAAATACAGTGCGTATGACCGCGAGCTGCCGGCCATCTATGAGGCTGTAAAACACTTTCGCCACATGCTGGAAGCGTGCCACTTCAGCATCTTCACAGACCACAAACCTATCACCTACGCTTTCCAGCAGAAAAGGGACAAATGCTCACCAGGACAATTCAACCACCTGGATTTCATAGCACAATTCAAAACTGACATCCGACACATCTCGGGACAGGACAACGTTGTTGCCGACGCACTCTCCCGCATCGAGTCTGTCACTGCGCCACCATCCTACGACGCATTGGCCGCATTGCAGGACAGCGACAACGCGCTTCAATCACTTCAGCAGTCAAATACCGCTTTGCAGCTCGAAAAGCTACCAATTCCCGGTACCACAGTGTCCATCTACTGCGATACCTCTGCCGTACATCCCAGCTCCTCTACGGTTCGAAGTGTTCCAGTCTGTCCATGATCTGTCGCACCCAGGGACCAAAGCAATGGCAAAACTGGTCATACAGGTTTTCGTGTGGCCAAGCGTACAGAAGGATTGCCGCACCTGGGCACGTGCTTGTCAATCCTGCCAGCGCTCCAAAGTGTGCCGCCACACACTGACTCCATTGGGCGACTTTACACTGCCGGCAGCCAGATTTCTTCATGTCCACATAGACCTTGTTGGACCCCTTCCGACATCAGGAGGCCACACATATTGCCTCACTGCAGTTGACTGTTTCACCCATTGGCCAGATGCCATCCCCATCCCAGACATCACAGCTGACACAGTGGCACGAGCCCTACTGACCGGCTGCACATCCCGCTTCGGTTGCCCACAGACCATCACCACCAACCAGGGACGTCAGTTCGAATCTCAACTCTTCCACTCCCTGGCCAAGCTCTGTGGCATTCAACTCTCGCGAACAACTGCTAACCATCCAGCGGCTAACGGACTCGTGGAACGTTTCCAGCGAACACTAAAGGCAGCCATCATGTGCCACGCAGACCACCACCGGACAGAAGCCCTATCCCTGGTTCTCTTCGGAATCTGCACGGCATGCAAAGAGGACCTGCAGGCATCAATAGCTGAGCTCATGTATGGCGAGCCACTAAGAATACCAGGACAGCTGCTAACTCCGATTGCCGAGCCAGTGGATCCAGCGCACCTCATCACCCAACTTCGCCAATATATATGGCCCGCCTTAGACCAATTCCAGCAACACGCCATGCTCCCCAGCTACATTTGTGCTAAGCGACCTCAAGAAGTGCACGCACGTTTTCCTTCAGCAGGACACAACTCGCAGAGCATTGAAGCCCCCCTACAGCGGCCCCTCCCAGGTCCTATCACGGAAGGAGAAGACAACGCAAATCCTCATGCGCGGCAGGCTCATCACCCTGTCAACTGATAGGGTCAAACCTGCCTACATGTTAAACGAGACAGGCCATGGGACCACCACCAAGACCTTCAACCCCACAGCCTGTAGAACAAACTACACGCTCCGGACGACATGTACAGTTTCCTGATCGCTTCAACAGCTGAGCAACAATCTCCGCGAGGGGGTGATGTGGGAACTGCCCACATTTAAGCAAGTGTGACAACGCAAGCTTCATTGCTTAGCAACAAGTAAACAGCGGTTGCTAGGCCAAAGCCCTAAACAATACGGACACTGACTGGTTTTCTATATGTCCGACTTTAGGTTACATAGGAAGATACAGTTACAGTCACAGTTCTAGATTCTACACTTCTATAATACTGGTTCAGTGTGTTCATTATTGTTATTATTATTCTTCAATTCTTCAAATGCAAGTTCGTCTGTGTATATGGTGCAACTGTAATAAATACTATAGGACAGTTCAACCAGTGGTTGTCTCTTCATATGACATGCCACACATCATATAACCATTTGGGCCCTTCATGCCCATACTATCACCTTCCTGAAAACATCATCTAAGCAGGTTTTAATGCAATGGTCTCCAGAAATTGTTGAAATCTAATCAAAATCATTACAGACATTTTCAGGAAAAACACCATTTGTTTCGTGAGGCCCATATAAAGGGATCCTATTTTTGGAGTCAGAGTGTTCTTATTCATTGGGCACTGATCAATGATACATAAACTCTTAAATTCATTCATTCATCAGTAATCTGTCAAACGACAGGTTCACAGTCTCTTCCAAAACAGTTCCTCCACTTGATGCGATCTAGAGCTTTCTCCTTCAAATGACAGTATCCTCTTCTCTCCCCCAAGGTCATCCAGCATCTTCTTCCTCGTCTTCTGGTCACTTCCCTCCGCCCCTCTATCTTTCCTTCAATAACTTCTTTTAGAAGGCAGTTACCGTGTAAGATATGACCAATCCAATTAGCCTTCCGTTTTCTTATTTCATGTAGGATATTCCTCTGCTCACTGACTCTAATTAACACTTCTTCATTTCTCACATAATCTGTCCAACTGATCTTCTCCATCCTTCTCCAACACCACATTTCAAAACTTTCCAGATGTTTCTGATCTACTGCTCTAAGTGTCCATGTTTCAGCCCCATACAGAGCTATGCTCCAAATGTAGCATTTCACTAGTTTCTTTCTCAAATTTAAGTCCAATTTTCTGGTAAAACGATTCTTCTTCCTGCTAAATGCAGCTTTTGCCATGGCAATCCTAGACTTAATTTCACACATACACCTTCCATCATCTGTTAACAAGCTACCCAAATATTTAAAACATTTCACATTCTCCAGTTGTTTTTGGTCTATCTTTATTGTGACTGCGGTTCGGTGTCTCGAAATTTTCATTACTTTTGTTTTTTCCACATTAATTTCCATGCCATAGCACCTTCCAATTTCGATTAGTCTATCAGTCATACCCCGTAGCACAGTTTCTTCCTTAGCCATTAACACAAGGCCATCTGCATATTTCACAGTTTGAATAATTTGTCTTCTTAATTTGAAGTCTCCAAGCCCATCCAGAGCTTCTTTGGTAAGGCATTCACTGTACAAGTTGAACAAAATCGGTGATAAACAGCATCCTTGTCAAACTCCTCTTCCAATCTTCACACTTCTTGTACTTCCTCTGTCCAGTCGCATTCTAACTTTCTGATCCATGTACAATTTACTAATCAATCTTCTTTCCCGCCAATCGTTACCTGTTTCCTATAGGATCTGCACTAATTTGGTCCAATTTACATGGTCAAATGCCTTCTCCCAGTCTATAAAGCAAGCACACAGTTCTTCATCTATCTCCAAAGTTCGTTCTGCTATAATTCTCATCATCCCAATTGCATCCCTGGTTCCTTTTCCTCTTCTAAATCCAAACTGTTCCTCTCCAAGTAAATCCACTATTTTCCTTTCAATTCTTCTTTCAAGTATCTTTGCTATTATATAACTCTTTAATGAACCGTCACAACACAGCGAATAGTAAAACATCAAAGTCAGCATTCAGCTGTGGCTTTGCTACATGTTTTGGCCACTATCGGCCATCATCAGGCATATCAACTAAAATCTACCATTTAACTGCAACCATAAAATAGATATAACACTATTGATCGTACAATTTTAAAATTGCTTATGTAAAAAATACAAAAGTTCAGATTATATAAAAATTGAAAGTATATTTGCTATTATCTTTGCTGTACGTGCAATAAGGCTTATTGTGCAATGGTCACTGCATTTTGTAGCTTTTGTCTTTTTCTTTAAGGCAATCATTGTAACTTCTGTAAAGTCCTTGGGCCACTCCCCAGTTTCATATATGGTGTTTATTAGTTTTGTCAGTGTTTTCAAACCACTTTCTCCCAGTAACTTAACCTTTAAATGCCGGACTTCGAAATAGTGGTAAGCTTGAGCTGGCCGGAGTTTATTTAAATGCCCGCTGCTGGTGCTCATTCAAATGCCCGTTGCTACTCTGCGTTTAAATGTCCGTTCCTGTTAGGCGCTTAATCAATTTTAAGCGTTGTGTTTAAAAATGCTGTATCTTGCTCAATTTTTATGATAAATGGATGGTATTAACTTTGTTTATATCAGCAAAGAATATAGTGTTGCATATTATAACGGAAGATTTGAAATTTTTAATACAACGTGTTATACTCTATTTTCAGTTTTTTTGTGTTTTAATTTTGATGCGTACTGCAAAAATGGTTTCCCAGTTCTTCACAGATTTGTTCTGCATTATAAATTAATTTCTGTTTGTAACACTTGACAAATTTTAGCAGTCCCTGGTGTCATAAAACAGATGGAAGCAATAAAATCATTTGGTCTTCTGCTAGCACTGCTTACACCCTTCGGATTTTTTAATCTTTGACTGAAGGTCAGAAGAATGAAAGAATGGCTATTCAAGAGAAAGCTAGAGGGGTCCCTTCTTCAGTGCTAAGACCTTCCGTTACAGCTGCAAAAGCTTATTGCCCCTTATATTTGAGTGAACAGACAGCTGCAATAACAGACAGCGTGATCTGTTTTGTGTGCATTCGTAGTGAAATCGAATACTGTAGTTTTATTTGAAACTGTATATACATCAAGCAGGTAACAACAAAAAAGGTATGTACATCAAATTTTACAATATAAAGTTAGTCGAGTGTAACAATTTGTAGGTCACTTTTTTATTATTACTTCTGCCTTACATGTTTCAGTTTGACACAACCATCATCAGAGGCACTTGCTATAATTATGGAAACACTGTCGCTGTTTTGATGTTAACAATTATGTTTGTCGTGTGGACGCTGCTACGATATGTTGACGTGTAAAAGCACAAAACATGCTAAGATAGTTGAGTACACTCTCAAGTTCTCACTTTTCTTCAGAACCTATTTTAAGTTAAAACGCTAAAATGTTAAAATATCTTATATAAATGCTGAACTCCTCCTTATTAATTCATCCCAAAGATGGGAGACGTCAGCTTGAGGTTGTATGGCTGCAAAGATATTGTATTACTTAGGTTTTATATATTATATATATTATTTAATGCTGTATTTGATCTGATTCTTGCTTACCTTATGGATTGATATGTTTCCTGTGTGCTGTGTACTGCAGTAGGAATACTACATCTAATGTTTTTTATAGCCTTGTGTGTTATGACGCGGTCGGGGGTGTGTTTATACAAGTAGTGATGAGGTCAAACATGCTGTTCTGGTTATTGATTTCCTTTGCCTGTTTCTGCTCATCTATTAGTTTATTATCCTTGTAGTGGCGGTAAATTTGGTATTCTTCCTTTATATTCATTAATCTACCTTTCTTTGCTACTTCGATCAGTTCCATGACTTGTCAAATTGGGTCGTATTGATATTGTCTATTTAGGATATGTTGAGCATAGGCCGAGTCATTTCTATTTAATCTTATACTTCTTATATGTTCATTGTAGCGTGTTACTAATTTTCTGCCTGTTTGACCTATATACACTTGTTGGCACCGCTGACAAGTCAACTTGTATATGCCAGTTTGTTAGTAAGAATTTATGTTATGTTTGTGATTTAGTATTTTGCCTAATGTATGATTTACTTTAAAAGCTATTCTTACGTTCGTATTTTTAAATAGTTTCGTGATTCTTCTTGTGTAGCTTTCGTTATATGTGTAGGATACCCATTTCTGTTCTCTTCTTTCAATGGGAACACTTGTTTTTTGTTGAAGTTTATGATACATTCGTGTAATGAGTTCTTTATTGTATCCATTGTTTTGCGCGATGTTAATAACTGTATTTAATTCTTTATTTTTTGCTGTGTTATCCATAGGTAGGACGGTTAATCTATGTAGCCAATTTTTGTTCTTGGGGATGACAAGATTTATTGTTTATCGTTGTGTCCATCGTTGTGGGTTTTCTAAATATCTCCATTCTTACTTGCCCATGGTTGTTAATTAGTTTTAAGTCTAGGTACGTTATTTGATTATTTTCCTCCTCATTTAGTGTGAATTGCAAGTTTTTATTTTGCGTGTTAAATTGATCTAAAATGTGTTGAGGTGTTATTTTTGATCGGTTATAAATCATAATTACATCATCTACGTACCTGTTATAGTATGCATTATAGTATGCGTTATAGTTATGCATTTATCTTCTAGTAGAAGTTTTACTTTCCTTTGTTCGAAATGTTGTAGAAATACTTCCGCCATTAAGCTTGATAAGGGGGAGCCCATGGCCACGCCCGAGTTTGGTTTATAAAATTTATCATTGTATTGGAAGTAATTTTGATTCAATATCATTTGGAGGATTGTGATGATTTCGTCTTACACTTAACCGTGTATTGTTAGTTATGTGGATTACGTCATTTATTGGAATGTTTACGTATAAATCTTTAATATCCATTGTGAGTAGTTTGTGTTCTGGGTTTAGTTTTAGTTTGCTAATATTATTTGCGAAGTTTAAGGTGTTAGTGATGTTATAGTCATATTTTAAGTTTAATAGTGTTTGTAGTTTTTGGTGCATATGTTTAGCTAGTTTGTGGTTGTGTCAAACCGAAACATGTAAGGCAGAAGTAATAATAAAAAAGTGACCTACAAATTGTTACACTCGACGGACTTTCTACTAACTTTGTGATTGATAGTGTAACGGACCAAAATGAAACAATTTACAATATATTTTAACATACCTATCTCCAGAATCTGCAATAAAATTACTGGATCATGGAGATCATACGTATATTTTTATTTGCTGTTGTTCAGTTAGGTATCAATTTAATTCCTCTATTAGGGTTTTACTCAAGTCTGTCTGGTAATTACTACATTTAAAAATAAATATTTAGGACTGTGCATGTGCTTCTACTAGCGGCGTGTGCGCGCGCTTCCTCTACGGGGTTTAAATGCCTGACTGGCCAAAACGGGGTACTTTGGCCATGACAACCTTACTCATGACTGGCACAAACGGGGCACTTCGGCACTTAAAGGTTAAGCACATCTCCAGGTACATCATCATCTCCTGTAGCCTTTCCATTCCTCATGTCCTTGATAACTTTTTCCACTTCACTTTGTAAAATATATGGTCCTTTCTCATCTGTATCTACTTCTTCTTCCAGTTCCACTTCCAAGGTTTCTGGCCGATTAGGTCGATCATATAGTTCTGTAATATAATTTTCCCAAATTTTCAGCACTTTCTCTGATCTACTATTCTATTCCCCTGGGAGTCTTCGATTCCAATATTTTGAATCCCATGGTTCTCTTTCCATCCTAGTTCTTTTGTCTTCATGTACGTCAAATCATAACGTCCTGTCCTTTGAAATTCTATAATCTCATTACATATCTTCTCAAGATATTCCTTTTTGGCCCTGTCCGTGGCTCTTTGCAATTCATTCCTCAGTCTCCTCTATTTCCTACTGCCTTCTTCATTGTTTACATTCTTCCATTTCCTTCGGTCCTCCATTTTACTCATCACCTCCTGTGTAACCCATGGTTTTCTTGCTATTTTCTCAACTTTACCAACCAATTCACTAATAGTGTCTAACATGCATTCTTTTATATTGTTCCACTGCACTTCAGCATTTCCGCTTTCGCTTTCAATTGCACTGAATTTCTCTTCTAGGGTATCCTGCACGCTTTGTCTTTGAGCATATAACTTCTCCAAATATAAATACAATCTGAAGAATGCCATCTTCTGGGATGTGGTGCCATGTAGATCTGTGTGAACCAACATTTCGAAGGAACGTTCCTCCAAAACATCAGTTCACATAAGATCTACATGGCACCACATTCCAGAAGACAGGATTCTTCATAGTCAAAACTGTGGAATCCTCAAATCTTACATGAAGACAGTCTGTCCACATTATATAAACACAGACAGATGGCTTTCCAAAACCCACTTCTCATATACACAGGTGCTGAAACATGTAAATCTGTCAAACATTCTCATACACTATATGGTATGTGAAAATAAAAGAGAAATACATTTCTGAAATATTTCCAGAATTCAAACTCTGAATATGTTTGGATATTTTACTACTAAAAATATAGATTTAAAAGATACATTATGTACTATTTTTTAACAACTTGAAAGTAATTCAAAGGACCCATTTCCACATTACCCACCGGCATATAAGGCTCCAAGCCTATGAAGTCTAGAATGAGCACTGTCTCTGATAGCACTGGTGCACCCTGGCTTCTCTGATATCACTACATTTATAGTCTCTTTGGTGGCATTTCCATCACCTTCTTCCAAATGGGGGCTGACACAGTCAACTTTCTTTGGAGTTACACTTACATTGATAGTGATGGGTTCTCCATCAGATTTTGTTGCAGTCACTTCAACTGAAACTGGTATAATTCACAAAGCTACATTTATATTCACATCATGCTATAAAACAAATTTACGTCCAAAGCCTTCTTTGACATTGGCACTGTAAAATTAAAATTCACGAACACTTGAGTTTATGAAGTATTTACCTCTGGCCACAACAACCATGAGGCGAAATATAAAATCAGTCACATCATTTTATACTGTAAAAGAATTTGATTAAAATATTAAATCCCATATTATATTTCAGTGTCCTGTTGTATTGAGACATCCTAATTTTACTAACGTATTCGTCAATAATAGAACTTTTTTTTTTGCTAGTGGGGTGGGACTAAGTCCCTTGTTCTGCGGCCACTTCTGGCCTATCCTACCAGCCCCGGATGATAGGTGAGGGTGATTGTGGAGCAACTGGTGTAATGAAGATTGGCAGGGGAAACCGAAGTACTCGGAGAAAACCTGCCCCAGCGCCACTTTGTCCACCGCAAATCGCACTTGACCAGACCCAGGATCAAACCCGGGCCACTATAATAAACCTTTAAAAAGACATTAAGAATATGTTGTTCATTAAAAATGCATTTTAATTATATGACAGTTAAAATCAATATTATGACCGTAGGCTATTATGTTAACATATAAATTTACACATTAAAAGTGAATGTTCACACTCCTCAAGTTGTCTTGGTTTTACACAATTTATATTCACAACATGTTCCAGCCTCATTTGGCCATCATCGGGTGAATTCTATCCACGAGTGAGACCACTGCACTGTATTTGTTTCCCTTGCTTCTCTCATGCACATCATTATTTACTCCATGCTAGTTATTAAATTTCATTTATATCCAGCTATTTTGCAGTTAGCAGTTTGTAGTCGTGTTTCCCTATGTCAGTGTCCCCACTGTGGTCTACCAGTATAGTGGTATACTGTATATCAGTATACAGCATGAAATAAATAACGACGTGCATGAGAGATGCATGGGAAACAAAATACGGTGCAGTGGGCGAGGATAGAATTCACCTGATGATGGCCTAATGAGGCCGAAATATGTTGTGAATATAAATTAGTAAAAAATACATGTAAAACCAAGACAGTTTGAGGAGTGGGAACATTCACTTTTAATATGTAAATTTATATGCTAACATAATAGCCCATGAGCATCATCATCATCATCATCATCAGTAATCTGTCAAGACGACAGGTCCACAGTCTCTTCCAAAACAATTCCTCCACTTGATGCGATCTAGAGCTTTCGCCTTCAAATCACAGTATCCTCTTCTCTCCCCCAAGGTCATCCAGCATCTTCTTACATCTTCTTCCTCGTCTTCTGGTCACTTCCCTCCGCCCCTCTATCTTTCCTTCGATAACTTCTTTTAGAAGGCAGTTACCGTGTAAGATATGACCAATCCAATTAGCCTTCCGTTTTCTTATTTCATGTAGGATATTCCTCTGCTCACTGACTCTAAATAACACTTCTTCATTTCTCACATAATCGATCCAACTGATCTCCATCCTTCTCCAACACCACATTTCAAAACTTTCCAGATGTTTCTGATTTACTGCCCTAAGTGTCCATGTTTCAGCCCCATACAGAGCTATGCTCCAAATGTAGCATTTCACTAGTTTCTTCCTCAAATTTAAGTCCAATTTGCTGGTAAAAAGATTCTTCTTCTTGCTAAATGCAGCTTTTGCCATGGCAATCCTGGATTTAATTTCACTAGTACACCTTCCATCATCTGTTAACAAGCTACCCAAATATTTAAAACATTTCACATTCTCCAGTTGTTTTTGGTCTATCTTTATT